AGCGCTGGCTAGATAAAAACATGCAAATGTCATTTTCTGTCATTTTCTTGAAGCTGGCGATTTAAATATTTCATCCAGCACTTCTGACAGAGCTGAGAAGAGCTGTTGTAATTATTAAGATCTTTCCTCTCAGCGTGGAGAATTCTCAGCGGTGTAAAAATAATCATCCACTTTGTCTTTGAGTGTCTCCAGGTTCCTCAGACAAACAGGACAACGGCACTTCCTCCTTCTGAGTTGAAGAAGGCCGTCTGATGTCTTTGTTATGTGTTTGAGTGAAGATGTGGAGCAGAATGAGATGATGCAAAGCTTTTGATCAGGCAGCTCCTGTCTGCTTGAATTCTTTCAGCTTGGCGTGGAGTGTCAAGGTTCTGACGGTGTCAATTAGCAGCCGGAGCGGCGAAAGCTCCGCAGAAAAGAGCATGTCTACATTTAGAGCAAGGATGTGACAAAGACGCAGAGACAGATCAGAAACCAGCAGAACGAGCAAAGACGTGGTAAAAAAAAAAAACACCCCGCTGGGAGACACCTGAAGATTTGTTCAACTCTTTGCTGCTTGTTTGCAGCCCTTTGATCAACTTTCCATTATAAAACATGAAGAATAACAGGAAGTTATTAATTGAAATACATGATAAATTCAGCATTCTTTTGTAAAGGAGAATACGTCTACTGTCACCTGTAGCGCCATGGTACAAGATTAGAAGCAGCTAGCTGTCTCCCTACCATGGCTAACTCTTGATTCTTCTGTAAATCCACTAAAGCCTCATTAAGGTGCAATAAAGTCAAACCTCCACATCTGTAGGGGGAGAAAATACGACATAACACCTTGTTAGAGCTCATAATCAGCACTAGCTGCTCCCATAGGAGCTGCAGGGAAGCACACATTCAGAAAAAACAACTATGTCTGTATATGTATTTAATTTGCAGGGCTAACCAACTGAGACAGTGTTTATGATGGTGGTACTTACTGTGTAGTTGGACTCTTAATTTGCACCATTTTGAGCGTCATGTGGAAGGCGTTCTCTCGTCGCCATTAGGACTCTGGAGGATGGTACCAGGCATCTCATTACATTGGATCAAACTACAGAATCTAGCGAAAGTTTCTTCAGTTTGCCTTTAGATTGGACTTCCTAATCTTTAAACATGTGAAGGCAAAACTTGAAACGTAAAGGTCTAAAGATCATCTGGAGGATCTTTACATATAATTAGCAAACATTGCATGGAGAGGTTTATGCTTAGCCAAACTACCAGCTGTTTTTTTCACACTGGAAAAAATCCAAATCTAGATAAGTCATTTTTTTTTTAAATAAGTGCATTTGTTCTTGGATTTGAGGAGATAAAAGAGACATTTTGCCAATGGAACAAGACAATTTAGATTAAAAATAAGAAACGCAATTGCATTATCTTATTTCAAGAGCATATCATTTAATTATCTTATTTTAAGACTAAAAACACTCATTCCATTGGCAAACTATCGCATTTACCTACTCAAATTAAGGGTAAAAACACTTTATATAAGAATTTTTTACTTCTTTTTAGATTGTTTTTGCAGTGCAGCTCTGATACTGATGTTGAACATCTGATCATATTCAGGTTCTCTTCGAGTTAACTGTTTTCCTTCAGATGAAATCTAACAGAACCTCAGAGTGTTCTGCTGTTGGACTCTACACACCAGCAGTGACAAAACAAGTAGCACCTGAGGGGTAAGTTATGGGAAAAGCTGGCCTAACAGTGATGGCTAAAAGAGTGAGATTCCTCCGGTGGAGATTGGAGGGAATGACCTGTTATAAAAATATTCAAAATGTGGCTGATATATCTCAGGATCAAAAGAGGTTTACAGCTGGTAGACCTCTGCAGCCTGCACATATGAAACGCAGTCATGACAGATGTCTTTGCATCTCATTAAAAAGTTTCTTGGTCATCTGATGATGCACTGTGACAGGGCAACCACATTTCCTGAAGATAACCACTGTGGAGTCGTTCCATCATCAACTTGTGGTTGGCGGAGGTGAATCTACCACCACAGAAAAGCTGTTGGGAATTTACATTCTTCTCTATATTTTACACATTTTATTGAATCTGCTGCAACTGCAAACCTTCTTTCTCTCTTTTTCTTTTTTCTTTTTATTTATTCTTTTTTTGAGTGGACAGTAAACAGCAGATAGGTTAATGCCGTGATCAAAGACATGCTTATATGCAGACCGGGCGCCTCCGGGCGCATCACTGCTCCTGAGCCGAGCAGTGAAGCGCATGAGGGGAGCAGCTTTAACTGATGCTTTGTAATGCCCAAGCCCTAAGCACTTTCTGATTACAATGACATACATATATATATATATATATATGGTAAATTGCGTGTACCTAGATCACATGGCGCCCTTTTACAGTCTGAAGACTCCAAAGCACTTTATAGTACATTCTGTCATCCACTTATTCACGCACAGAGTCACCCACAATGTGGGTGTGGTGTCTTGCTCATTGACATGACAACTGAGATGGACAGAGTTGGGGTTTGACCCTTCTGCATCTTATGCCACTGTCACCTCGACTACAAAACCCTGATTTCTGAGTCCTACTGATACCTGCATAAAGCCAGTACTCAAATGTGTCATGATTGTTTCCTCTCTTCCATATCCAGTTCTATCACACGTTACATTTCTTTGAATGTTAGACAAATGTGTTTCTGCATTTTCATTTTCCCATTGCCTCTGCCATTTTCCTTTATTTTGTTATGAGTGACAGATTTTCTTGCCTCTTTGTTTCCTTTTATGCTGACATGTTCGGGGATCCAGACAAATTTAACATAAATATTTGTTTGACTTAGCTGTAATAATAAGTGATGTACATAAAACAATGGATAATGTCTATACGATTGAGTCAATTTTATACATAATAGTACAGCTTGACTGTCTAATGCAACATCTGCTTTTTTGTATCCTCCACTTTTGAATAGCAGCATCTTAACAGCTATAGTTGAGCTGTTCTTCCTTTATACAGTACCACATTTTACTGCTGTTTTACTGTCTATTAAAGTTAATTTGCTCATTCAATCATGCATTCATTCATTCATTCATAGGAAGGGATGGGACCTGAACTAGCGCCTTTTTACAAAGCGAGTTTAACAAACTCAGACTCAAATCCTCAACTATGAATTGATGTAGCCTAAGATTAGAAAACCTGAGTTTCCAGTTTCACAACAGCCGCTTAGTTTAATCCGAGTTAGTTTAATCACCGCTGAGTAGGTTATCTGCATTTGGTTAACAAGTCGTGCCAATTTGACGAGTCACCATGACAACAGACTACAGGAAGTTTCTATTTCCCACCACTTGAACTAGAGATTTTAGTGCAGAAAAGAACAATCTGTGTGTTAAAAGAAGGAGAAATAGCTACAGCTTCAAAGGAGAGGAAATGGAGAAGGAGAAGATTGCTGCTCGACTTAATGCTTACGTTTATATGCAGTCTACCATGTCACTATGTTCTAATATTTATTAAAAGCACTCTTCGCTCTGTTGTTCCATTTGTAAATCAATAAAATATGATGCTTCCTGGTCAAAATGGCATTCCTTGTTGGATATTTAATGATAGATTTTCTAAATTATATTTTTGCACCAGAAACTGAATTTCAGGAAGTGAAGGAAAACTAAATTGTACTAGTAAGAATTAAGTTTTATATGCCTAGAAATGTTTTAACTAGCCTTTTTGACATTTATCAGCTTGACCAAATATCTATGATATCTGAAGTATATTTCTTCATAGTCAAACTTATACAAATGCTGACCACCAACAACAGGAATATGAAAATCTAAAATTAATTTCTAGACATCCACAATGTGTATTCTAAATGTTAACAATGTCATTTGTTAACAGGTATTATAAAAACTGTCATTAAACCATGATTACATTTTGGATGTTAAAGTTAAGGATGCTGGGATGAACATCATTTTCACTTCACTGATAGTTTTATAAAGGAAACAGCTGCAGTCAGATTCCAAATGATCCGATCTGTATCCGATTTGAAAACAACAAATGTGGCCCAGATCTGATTTGCAGATTTGAAAAGTCAGAATTCATGTGACTTGGCCTGTTCACACAGTGAGGAAAGAATCTCACCAAATCACAAAGCAAATTGATTGGTATGCAGTGGGAACATAGCCTTATTGCTCATTAACTTCATGTGTTTAACTAACACAAAATGTCCTTGTAATTTTCTGCCACAACCGTTTCTGTTATCTAGTAAATAGAAATATTTGATCTTTTTACAGATATTTTTTTTTCTCTCTAAATGTCTCTCTAATGTAAATTACTCCAAAATATTGACAATTGTTGTCAGAACTTTTATTTTTAACAGCTCTGATAAATATGGTTGAAAGATCACTAAAAACAAATAACGGAAAATTCCTTCCAAAAAGTGCAGTATTTCATACAATAATTTTTACCAACATTTCTTACAGAGTAATTTAACACAATAGTTTCCTGTTATCAGGGTAGGACATGAAACAATTGTGTTAAAGCAAATATGGATGCAATCGAAGCAGGGATTGTATTTTTCATTGTTTCTGTGGGCAGCAAGTCTAAACATACTCTTTCTAAATATTATAATATATATTATATGCCGAAACGTTCATCTCTTTATTCTTCACAAAACATTAAAACCAAATAGAAGAACTGGAATGCCTTGCAGGGCTGAAGCCGTCATTGTTTCAAGAACTTAAAACCCACCCTGTGTGGTTTTCTAGTCAAGAAACGCGTGATTCTCTTAATTTTGTTTGTTTTAATTAAATAATAAATTAAATTAAAAAGAAAACACATTCCTGAGAGATTACCTGTCCCCACAAGGAAGGAAAAAATTGGCCACACTGCTCTCCTGCAGCTCCTGTCATTCAATAATTGGATCTTCTTTGAGATTTTTGGGTTGTTTTGGCAACAGGAGTCTTACACACAAGACGCGTGTAGGTGGAGTATGCGCGCGCGCGTGTCTGTGTGCGGGAGACAGCTCGTGAGGATCTTCCATCCCACAGATTGTCCTGTTCAGAGCGCAGACTCTCCTCACCACGCAGCGCGCTCACAGGTAAGGGGGAGGAGGGGTGGTGGTTGAGGAGGAGCCTGACTCACGCACGCACCTCTCTCACCCGCGCAGACACGCGCACGGCGCGGCGGTGAGCGGAGCGCAGTTATTTGGTGCTGTCGTTGCGGAGCAGTTCATCCCCTGCGGTTCTGTGGTGCGTGGAAAAAGACTCCGCATAACATCTCCCCTCCTCTCCAGTCTCCTCTCTGCTGTTTAGCATGTTCTGGATCATGGCAACAGTGCGGGACGTGGGCAGGGTGGGTTTTTCATGCCTTCACAGACGGAATCCGTGGGGCTGCTGCAGGAGTTAAAGGAGTGATATCTTTCTGTTTTCTGGGCTGGAGACCTGGAATGATCCTGGAATGTTCCTGGAATGATGGTGATGATGCTGGAGCAACAAGCGTGCGGCGGCTCTGCGCACACTTTGCGGTGATAACGCGCACTTGAAGGCGGACTGTTGCATCTGTCTGCAAGATTTCAGACAGTTTGTGTTTTTTTCCAACAAAAAGGAACTTGGCTCTCGGAAGCCTCTCACTCCTCAGAGAAGTGCTTCATCCATACTTCTGCGTTTTAACGCTGGGAGAGCTTTGATCCCTGTGCAGGGGCGGAAGCAGTGGATCCAGAGCCATGAGCTGCCAGAAGAGTGGCCCCCCAGAGGTGAGAGCAAATCTAATGCTCCGGATCCTGTGGATGATTCCAGCTCTCATGGATGTAGCTGGAACCCAGGAGATATATGCACCACACTCCATCCGAGTGGAGGGAGATGTGACACTGGGGGGGTTGTTCCCAGTGCATGCCAGGGGTTTTCCGGGAACGCCTTGTGGGGACATCAAGAAGGAAAACGGCATCCACCGGCTGGAGGCCATGATGTACGCGCTGGATCAGATCAATGGAGATGAGGACCTGCTTCCTAATGTGACACTGGGTGCTCGGATCCTGGACACCTGCTCCAGAGACACGTACGCCCTGGAGCAGTCTCTGACCTTTGTGCAGGCCCTGATCCAAAAGGACACCTCGGATGTCCGCTGCACCAACGGGGAGCCACCGGTTTTTGTGAAGCCGGAAAAAGTTGTGGGAGTTATTGGTGCGTCTGCGAGCTCTGTGTCCATCATGGTGGCCAACATCCTGCGGCTCTTCCAGGTACGGCTCTTTTATCTTCATCAGTCTCATCATCAGTCACACGGGCTTCCAGAGGAACTCACTCTGATTGGGAACGTGTTCACAGTGGTTGTGATGCTTTAGCCTCTAAATTGTTTATCACCTGTTTGATGATGTGAGCTAAAAGCTCCTCAGAGAAGGTTTTATTCAGCTGAGTTTTTGTTTTAGTTGTTTTAGTACCAACTAGACATCATCCAAACCAGCTGCTCTTTGATTTTGACTTTAATTTTTAAAAATGTCAGGTATTAACTTTGAATAGTGCTTTATTAATCAGAATCAAACATTAAATTCCCCTCAGCTGTCTGAGAGACTGACTAATAAAGCTGTGGGAGAGCAGGAACCTGCCTGAACGTCATTTCTTCTTGTAAATCTCACATATGGATAGAAATGACCTCATTAAATGCACAGTGTCTGGGTTAAAACTAAAAGCTCCATAACCCAAAACACTTCATAAAAGATAAAGATAAAAAAGGGTTGACAGACATTTCCCTGGGGAATCTTTTTCTATACCAGCAGAAATTCAGGTGGATTTATTTTGATCTTCCACTGATTTATAAACATAGCTCAAAAATCCATCCTGACTTCCTGAGGTCATGGCCATCAATCTCTCTTTCAGCCATTTCAGATGGTCGACCTCTGCAGGTAACTCAACACGTGTGATAGGACTATAATGAGACTTTCCACATGACACAAAACTGGCTGCAGGTTAATTCCACTCATACTATTATGATAAATAATTATTCCTGGAAAGAAAAGCTTTTGGAACATTAACAGCTCCTGGGTAAACTGAAGCCCAGGTCTCCCCTGATTGTGGAGAGAAGGACTGTGAAAGAGGTTTGGATGTCTTCTAGTTTCTGGGGTCCTCTGGGCTGCTTCACAGCATGGAGAAAAAACTCTCTGCCACCAAGAGGTCATTTAAACTGCAGGAAGTGAGTAGATAAACAGGTCTGCTGACGTTCTCTAGTTTGGACTGAATGAATCAGCATCAGGTGGAGGCTGGAGTTAAAAAGTGGGAGGGGACGTCTTCATTCAGTTCCATGCAATATACTCTCAATTCATGTTTCTGAGCTTTTATTTTGAGGCAGATCTTGTCTTCATTCCTACTGTAGGTACAAACAGCTGTACTGTAAGAGCTTAGAGCTGCAGCTGCTATAGAAAGAGAAATCCTGCCTTTAAAGTTTAGCCCTGCTAAAAACAACCTGCTGCTCTGTTTCCACACATCTGAACATTTAAATTAAACTGAGGTCCAGCATCAGCCATACATTGTTTTTTGTACAGCTGCAGAATATGCTCCAGTAAGGAAGGTCCTGTTAGAAATCCTTTGACTGTTTTGATGGCCTTTACCTGAACACTGACACACATATGATCCATCATTGAACAGCATTTATTGAAGGATTCTACTGTATGGATTTCTACAGGCTTTTCAGTATATATAGAAAATATGGTCATCTAATTAAGACATAGTCTAAACACAGCGTTCCTCAAAGGGCCGAAGTTTAAAAAAAAAATCCCAATAGCAAAGGGAATATTGATGTACAGGATAGCTAATGAATTAAAGAATGAGGGAATATGAAAACAGTTTTATGATTCCTAAACTAATTGATTGATTGATTAATTGATTATGTTTAAACAGCCAAGTAAAAAGAATAAATCACAAAGCGATCAAATAAAATGTAATAATACCACAGAAAATAAATTAAATTAAATAATTTGCAAATAATACTCAAAGCCTTTTTGAACAACAGCGTCTTTAATTTACTTTTCAAAAGACCCGGTTCAGCGAAAGCACAAAGATCCAAAGGGTTCTTCTCCAAGAAGGTAGGGCACCACTAGTACTGCCTATTCACTACAGTGATAAAGCCTAGCCTTTGAAATGCCGAATAGGGAGCTGACTGGATGGCCTCCAAGCCTGCCAGGACCACAGACCCTTTATGGTTTATTTAAAAGACATATTAGAGGCCATAAAGAGACATAAATAAGAGAGTAAAATTCATTCAGACAATAATGAAAGATTTGAGATTCTGTATTCAAGCCTGGACATTTCTTCTAGGTGTCTAGAAACTGCAGCTGTCAATTTAACAGAGAATCTTGTTCTAACGTTTATATACTGGATTCCAGTTTTTTTCAGGATCCAGTGTTATATGCTGTTGTTTTGATAAAGGAATCTTTTATGGGGCCCCATGATAGATTATGCAAGCTTTAAAACTGCTATCAAGATGCATTCAATTGCATAAACTGGTGGATAAAAAAACTTGAATGGTCAATTTATTCATGCTTTGTTTCACTGTTTACTGCTGAAAAATTAGGGAGAACGCAAAAATTATTCATTTTACCGCTGGATTTTCTTTTTATATTTGAAATATCTATCGGGGCATCTTTTTTTCTTCTTTTGGGCCCCAACTCAATCAAGGGCCCTTAGAATCTTAGCTTTTCCCCCTATTATGGCACCCCTGGCTATACATGTCAGGACATTTACACCATCAACCTCCAGGTAATACTCTGAAATCCACTAATCAGATGCTGTTGAATATGCCTGGAACAAAACTGAAGTCTTCCTGTAACATTAGAGCTGCTTAGAGGGACAAAACTGTCTCTTTTTTAAATTGTTATTGAATTATTCATGATTATTCGGGTTTCTGTGTTTTACAGTAATACACTTTACTCAATCTAAGGTGAAAAAAAAAAACAATTAAAATGTTTTACTTGTACAGACTTTAGTAGATTTAACTTCTCGCTTTTTGTAGGCTTCAGAGGGACGAAAGTTGACAGCTAAGTTTGAAAAAAAAAAAATACAACTGTCTTTATTCCACTTTCAGAAAATGGGTCAAAAGGAATGAAGAAGGTCAGCTTGCAGGTGTTTGTGTGTTATGGTAGGGACTGAGACTTCACAATGCTTCTCTCAGTGGAATAAAGAGTGGAAGGTAATTATTTTCCCTGGTGATGTAAAAATCATCTGTTCCACAGCTGCTCTCACCTCATTAAGCCCCTGATGTGCCTAAAGAACCCAGTTGGCTCAGGAGGCGCACCTCAAACACATTAAGGCTCGTCGTTCTGGACTGCTGCCCTGCCATCAGAGCATCAGGCCCGTGTCAGAGCCGCAAAAGATTTTATAAAACATCAGGAGGAATCAGCTAAAGGCAGAGCAGAGTAGATGTTAACTGTTAATCATCATATCTTCCCCATTTGTAGAGGCTGAATAGTTCTTGGCACAAGTTTTAAGTTTCATTGGCGGATCTAATGACTAACATTGACTATTATGATGCATCAACATCAATATTTACAGTCGACATATGACCTCAGTGAATGTATCTACTGCTGTGTCTCCTGTTCGATAGACTTGAAAAAGATCATTGCCCTTAATCTAAGATCTGATGTCACTGGCTGACAGGTTCTCCAATACTGACAGAATGACAGAGGAGGGATGTCTGGTCCAAGAGTTTCAGTTTGTCTCATAAGCCTTACAAACTCTTCTAATCTTGTGAGTAAACGGAGAACTAGGGACACAAAAGGACAGTCAGAGTCTTCCCAGATTTAAATAGCTGTGGCGTCTGACTGAATAATTGAACCAAGTGAGGATCCAGACTAAAGGACTGGATCTGCTGAGGATCCAGACTAAAGAACTGAACCTGATTAGAATAAAAAATAAAGAACTGAACCTGATTAGGATAAAAAATAAAGAACTGAACCTGCTGAAAATCCAGACTAAAGAATTGGACCCACTGAGGATCCAGACTAAAGAACTGAACCTGATTAGGATAAAACATAAAGAACTGAACCCAATGAGGATCCAGACTAAAGAACTGGACCGATTAAGGATGCAGACTAAAGAACCGGACCCACTGAGGTTCCAGACTAAATTACTGGACCCACTAAGGATCCAGACTAAAGAACTTAACTGGATTAGGATAAAACACAAAGAACTATACCCAATGAGGATCCAGACTAAAGAACCGGACCCACAGAGGATCCAGACTAAAGAACTGAACCCAAAAGGATCCAGACTGAAGAACTGGAACCACTGAGGATCCAGACTAAAGAACTGAAGCTGATTAGGATAAAACATAAAGTACTGAACCCAATGAGGATCCAGACTAAAGAACCGGACCCACTGAGGATCCAGACTAAAGAACCGGACCCATTGAGAATCCAGACTAAAGAACTGGAGGTACTAAGGATCCGGACTAAAGAACTGAACCTGATTAGGATAAAACATAAAGAACTGAACCCAATGAGGATCCAGACTAAAGAACTGGACCGATTAAGGATGCAGACTAAAGAACCGGACCCACTGAGGTTCCAGACTAAATTACTGGACCCACTAAGGATCCAGACTAAAGAACTTAACTGGATTAGGATAAAACACAAAGAACTATACCCAATGAGGATCCAGACTAAAGAACCGGACCCACAGAGGATCCAGACTAAAGAACTGAACCCAAAAGGATCCAGACTGAAGAACTGGAACCACTGAGGATCCAGACTAAAGAACTGAAGCTGATTAGGATAAAACATAAAGTACTGAACCCAATGAGGATCCAGACTAAAGAACCGGACCCACTGAGGATCCAGACTAAAGAACCGGACCCATTGAGAATCCAGACTAAAGAACTGGAGGTACTAAGGATCCAGACTAAAGAACTGAACCTGATTAGGATAAAACATAAAGAACTGAACCCAATGAGGATCCAGACTAAAGAACCGGACCCACTGAGGATCCAGACTAAAGAACTGGAACCACTGAGGTTCCAGACTAAAGTACTGGACCCACTAAGGATCCAGACTAAAGTACTGGACCCACTAAGGATCCAGAATAAAGAACTGAACCTGATTAGGATCAAACATAAAGTACTGAACCCAACGAGGATCCAGACTAAAGAACCAGACCCACTGAGGATCCAGACTAAAGAACTGAACCTGATTAGGATAAAACATAAAAATCAGAACCCACTGAGGATCCAGACCAAAGAACTTGACCTGCTCAG